TAACTTAATAGTTTCATGAAAGTGAAAATAATTATAAAATTCCTATATCAATTGAAATATTAAGGTATAATATCATTTCATTTTTGTAAAAAACTATTTCACATTTTGTACATAAATGAAAATATACTAACAACTAATATTATATTTTTCACAACAATGCTAGAGGGCCACAATTTTTATGGCCACAATGGCTCAAAATTTTGACAGTTTGACAGTTTTGAGCCATTGTGGCCACAAAAATTGTGGCCCTCAAATATTTTCCTATTTTTCATCATGCAAAATATATGTAGCACATGAAACGAGACTCAACAACTCTTAATGTATAAAAATATATTCAATATTGATATGAATACATTCTTAAATTAATAATATGCAAATAACATACAATAGTGAGTTCAATAAATTTGTATTATGTGTAATTGTGCAATTCATTTCATACTTTCAATTGTATTATAGGTACGGATTATGAAAAATTGAAGTGAGAAGTTGATAGAAAAATATTTGTGTAACACTACATGTTTAAAGAACTTGTTTATTATTTATTATTTAAGGCAAGATTATAATTTCAACAATCTACTTCTAAATTAAAGTTTATGTCTATAAAATTTCTCATTTATTATTTAAATTTTTCAGTCAAATATATATTCATTTCTTACCTAGTTGTTGATTAAGGCCGAAATGTACATCATTGAGGCTGTTAATTAGAATCTCTTAACTTCACTTGCTGGTCAAACCTATATTTTTATGTGTGTTGAGTGTCAATCAGGTTATACATCATCGGAGCATAAAATGAGCAAAAAGACAGAATTTGGCAGAGTTGACTTTTCCCGCACGTGCGTTGACTTTTTCCGCACGTGCGTTGACTTTCCCGCACGTGCGTTGACTTTTTCTGGAAAAGTCAAACCGACGTTTTAAACCTGTTTGGACGAGATTGGAAGTATAAAAAGAAGAGAAAAAGGCTGGATTAGGGTTCTAAAATTGTTTTGACCTAAAGAGGGAGGCTAGGGTTTGCAAAAGAGGAGGAAACAAAAAGCTTCAAGGATGTCTCCCATGGTGATTCCTTCTCCTTCTACTTCCTTCCACTCCTCCATGAGTGGCTAGTCTTCTTTTCTAGGGTTTTGATGAAACCCTAGCCATGTAATTATGTAGTTTTCTCTTTTGATTTTATATTATGTAAGGTTTGAACCATTGTATGGTGTTTTAGAAATTCTTTATATATGATCTTCATTATCTTTTCAAATATTTAACTTTATGTGATTGTTGAATATTATCCATACATGAGTTTTCTATTCCTTCACATTCAAGGTATGGGACGAACCATGCTACGAGGAACGAGTCGTATCACTACCCTAGTTTAGAGTGAACGATTCGTATTACTTGAGATGGTTCGTGCTCGTACATTGAATGTGATGATCTTCTTGTTAAATGCTTTGAGCTTGTAGTTGTGAAGCATTAATTCGTTCAAACCATAGCATAATTAATTTCAATTGGAAACCCTAATTATGTGGTTAGTGGTGAATTCTCAACCCTAGGATTTTTCCCCAATTTAGTAAATCCAATTTCATTTAATATTGATAATTTAATTCCTTAGTTTAATTTATTTGTTAATTAAATTAGGTTATGATCATTCAATCTTTATATCAAAATTAATTTAGGAATTTAACAATTAAATTGGTTTAATTTCACAATAGTCCCTGTGGATCGATACCTGGACTTACCATTATTCTAATAGAATTTGGTATAGTTTAGTATTTAATTTTGGTGTGTTCAACGACCCATCAGTTGTATTTTGGGTAGAGATCAATTTACCCATAAAAGTCTCTATATTTTGTATATATATCGCATATCAATTTAAGAAATACGTTTAATTACAGTAACAGTGATCGATGAAAAATCACGTGTCCAACTACTAGTACTAATATAAAAACCACATGAAACATGAAAATATATTTTAAAATTTATTTGTAAATAAGTTGCATGGTGTAGATGTAAATTAGTTTAATGTATACTCTATCCAGAATGATTGTGATTCAAAGATGTATTGTTTTGAATATTTATCTAGATATTTTTAAGAGCTTGTAGTAAGAGAACTTGACAATTATCAATGTTCAACACTTTACCACTAGTTACAGTTACCTATTTTTATTATATCGATAATACTACAATGTAATGACTATGAGGTGTTTTGGAAAAATGATAAAAAGTTAATTTTTGATATTTTTTTTAATTTTTTGATTTTTTTAGAAAGTAATTTGAAAAGTTAGTAAAATGATGCTTTTGGTTTTTTAATTAATAGTTGTTTATGATATTACATCACAATCAAATGACTAAAATACTCCAACTAATTTAGTAAATTTACATTTTCACTCATATGTAACCCTAAACAAAGGTATAATGGTAATTTCACATACAACTTTTTTGGACTTTCCAAATCACTGGGAGCTTCTATTCGCATACACCCATTTCACTCTGTGCACACATTTAATGATAATTATTTTTATTACAATTTTATTCCCAAGTGAAATTACTCTTATGGACATCATACACAATTTAAATAAACACATTTGAAAGTTGAATGTCAAAAAAAAAAAAAAAAATCGACATTCTATTGTTGAAAAAAATGATAATTTTCGAAATGCTACTTCCGAACAAATTATTTATTGAGAAAGATGTGCATGAAGTGTAATGGGTGTGTACAAATAGAAGCTCTCCAAATGACTTCTTGCTAAAAAAGCCAATCTAGCTTTTTACCCCTAAGCTGCAAAACGCAGCTTTTAGGGGTTGTTTGAGATGTTCTAAATAAGTGTATTTTTTGACTTTTTATGAAATATGGGTTGAGTTTGATGTGATGTGGTAGAGAGATGATGCGACTTAAATAAGATGATGTGACTTAAATAGGATAGTAACTTTTTGACTTTTTTTAAAGATGCCAAACTTAGCCTTAATATTGGTTCCCAAATGGCCACTATATTTATCTATTATATTTTGTTTCACGTCTCATATATTCATATTTTATCAATTTGGGCCTTATTTATCATAATTTAAAAAAGTTAAAAAGTTATTATCCTATTTAAGTCACATCATCTTATTTAAATCACATCACCTCTCTACCACATCATTTTAAACTCAATCCATATATAACTCATATTTCATAAAAATCACATCACCTCTCTACCACATCATTTTAAACCCAACCCATATATAATCCATATTTCATAAAAAGTAAAAAAATACACTTATTTAGATCATATCAAACTACCCCTTAATGACTTTACTATTCTGCTTTCAATATAAAGGTAATACATTATATTAATATAATGACAAATAAATTATGACGAAAAATTGTAAACATATAATATTTTTATTTTTAGGATAAATTATAAATACATTTCTTGAGATTTACTTAAATTATAAATTATCCCTTATAGTTTTAGAAATTACATTATGTCTCATAAGATTTCTAATTTCATAATAAATATGTTATTTTATTAATAAATCATCAAAGTTAATTAACAGTTTTTAATAATATTAAAATTTTATTTCAATTAATAATTTAGATAATTTTATTATTGTATAGATAAATAGCTCAAAATTTCACTTTTTCAATTAATTCAGTTAAATAATTGTTTTTGATAGAATGATATTTGTAATTTTTCAAATCATAAAAATCAATTTATATTTTAAACAAACCTAAAAAAATGTACGTTTATCTTACCCTTATTTTTAATATATTACACGAACCTCCTCTAAAAGTTTTAAAAAAATATAAAAAAATTCATGACCTTGTTTGGTTTGTGTTTTTTAAAAAATTTTGAGAAAAATTCTCTATAAATAAGTTTTCAAAAGTAATCAAACCAAGCAAATTTTTTCAATTTTTTTTTCAAAACTTGTTTGGTTTATAAATTTTCCAAACAAATCTCTCTCATACACATCAAATCAATTACTTTTTCCAAAACTCTCTCTCAAAATAATTTTTCAAAACATCTTTTCAAAAAATATCAAACCAAATAAATTTTCATACCTTTTATCACAAAACATATTTCTCAAATATAAACCAAACAAGGCCATATATTTGATATAACTACTTTAACTTCTTTTGTAGTAAAAATAAAGTAAGCGTGATTAATGTAGGCAATATATAGACACATGCCTAATTGTAGATCAAATGTAAATATCAGTATAAAACGTATCACATCATCATTTTTTACCCGCACTACTAACGATATGATTGATGGTGAACGGACAAAATATTATGAAAATTTAAACTTTAACCAGTTGTAATTGTAACCTTGTGAAACTTGCAGTATTTTTTATGAGTAATGATTCATCTCCCTTTTCTCTTCACCCCTTTGACTCTCTCTCTCTCTCATTGGTTACCTTTTTTTTTTTTTTTTCTTTTTTTTCCTACTCCACCAATCACCCCCTGCCACGTGGCAAAGGGGGGTGAGGGGTGACCCCCAAAAGGGGGTCCCAAACATTATTCATTTTTTATCTCTCTCTTAAATCTAGTTTAATGTAATTTCCCTATTATTTTGGAGCGAATTGTGTTTTCACAAAATAATTAATAACTCACGGAAAAGTCTAAGACTTTAATTATTAATATTCATAATTAATTTGAAATTATTTTTAAAAACTTGCGTTGAATTATAATTTGTTATATTATTTTTCTACAAGATAACTGTGTTATTTTAATAAAGCAAACACTAATTTATTTTTGGACAAATTTGCCATCAGTGATAAATTTTAGTTTTATTTAATAAAAATAGATAGATGATTTAAATTGAAAAAAAAATCAAAAAATTTAAATTTAAATTAAAAAAATTAAAAATTTATTTTATTATAAGGATCATCCTTTTTTCTTTTTTTTAGGGGGGGGGTCATTGAAGGCAAACAGTCTCTTCATGGGGTTTGAAGTTGGAGCCCATAGGCTGGACCCAATAATGATCCATAAGTTTCAGTCCCATGAGTTTAAAAGCCCATAAATGGGCTATTCTATGGGCTTCACCCACTTAGCAAATTCCACAGTAACTGGTTAGGGTTTTATTAGGGTTCATATACATGTTTTTTTGCTTCTGATTCTCCCCCATCTTCTTCCCTAGAGAGATAGACAGAGGGGAGAGAGAAGAGCCATGGTCCACGTCTCCTTCTACCGAAACTGTAAGATCTACCGTTTCTTTGATTCATTCTACACATCGATCGATCCATAAATCTTTATATATACACACACATTGTAATCTTTACTGTATCTTTGCTTTTGTTCCTTGATTTGTAACTCGTGTTTGTTAAATTCTCAACTCGTATCTTGATCTGCTAGACCTTTCAATGTAATGGCAAATTGTGTCCTTTTGTCATTCTGTTTGTTTGCTGAGAAACCCAACTTTATAGGTGACAAGATTAACGAGATTGATTTTACTCAACTTAGCCCAGAATTTTTAGGGCTTTAATTTTGTTACAATCATTTTCTTTTGCTCGCCAATCAATTGTTTGGTTGCTGAGAAATAAGAGGAAAAGAAAGTAGTCATGGATATGCTGCTTTGGTTGCTAGCTGAGTGGAAACTCCATCAGCTGGGTTATAGTTGTATAATTGTATTCGTAGAAACTGGATGATGACATTAGGATTCAAGATTACTAGAGTGTTTGTTTTCCCTATTGAGACAAAATGCAGCATAGTTAAGGAAAACCTGTGACATCTATGTACAGAGTGATTCATTGTTTGATTTTTTTTATCTGAATTCCCAATGTTGAATGGATTCAAAAGCTGTATTTTTTCTATTTTGTAAAGCTGGGTCTCAGGTGGTGTCAAAATGTCTTTGAACTGAATATTGAATTTTGTAGGGATTTTGGAGAAAATTGATGTAAAGATGACATAGTTGTTATTATTATTATTTTTTTCATCCTTTGTATATGTCTTCTAAATGTATACAGCACCCGTGTCAAACACTCACCATTTGGATAACCGAGACGAGAGCACTATTATATGAATATACTTTCATGCTCCCTTGTATTTGGACATGAGAAGTAGATTAATTGGACACTTAGACACATACCCGAGTTCATGTAACATAAGTTGGCACCCCCTTGCTGTCTTTTGGATTTTCATATCTATATTATATATAACCATTAATAAAAAAAATCCCAATTCTGAATAATATTAGATGGGAAGACATTTAAGAAGCCCCGCCGTCCCTATGAGAAGGAGCGGTTGGATGCTGAGCTGAAGCTTGTGGGAGAGTATGGGCTTCGGTGCAAGAGAGAACTATGGAGGGTTCAATATGTTTTGAGCCGTATTCGTAATGCTGCGAGGATGCTTCTTACCCTTGATGAGAAGAACCCCCGCCGTATCTTTGAGGGTGAAGCTCTTCTCCGAAGGATGAACCGTTATGGGCTTTTGGATGAGAGTCAGAATAAGCTCGATTATGTCTTGGCCTTAACTGTGGAGAATTTCCTTGAGCGCCGCCTCCAAACGCTTGTGTTCAAAACAGGTATGGCAAAGTCTATCCACCATGCCAGGGTGCTCATCAGACAGAGGCATATCAGGTAAAGTTTAGATACCTTGTAAATGTGAGTAAATAAAAATACTGACTGATGTTTAGTTATGTTTCCTAATGACAGTCGTTTTCTTTTTGTATTGAATAGTGTTGAATGTAGGGCTGATCTGAATAGTGTTAAATGGGGTTATTGCGTGGCATTATTGTTTATGGTAATTGGTTGATAAAGATCTATAGATGCAAGACCTATTCAGTAGAAAACATTATTATTGTTGTATTTGCTTTATGACATGTATTAATAGGTCAATCCAGTGTTTTAAATGGCGCGTGCCTAAGTGTGAGGCGCGGCCTTGTGCTTCGAACAGGTCGAGGCGAGGCGCAAGGCGCAACTTCAGCGCTAAGGTGAGGCTTTTTTTCGAGGCACGAGGCGTGGGTTTCATGGACTTTACATATTTTTCTACTCCAACGATTGATTAAGTGCTTTTTTTGTGGGCATACCCACAGGGATTCAAAATTCTTCAATGTAAAATGATCAAATGTGATCAAAAGAGAGCAGAAAGTGATAAAAGATTGAATGTTATGTTTTATATCTTTTGTTAGATATTATATTTCTAATTTTTAGAAATTGAATGTTGTGTTTATAGATTATCGGAAATGGTTATGATTTTTGAAATTCTATATATATTTGTTATGTTAAAAGGTTTGCTTATTTTATAATTTTTCTTCTTCTACTACTTGTGCTTTGCTTTGGTGAGGCGCACGCCTCGCACTTGGGCTATGGGAGACCTTATCACCTCGGTGTGCCTAGAGCCTTTTAAAACACTGGGTCAATCTATAAGTGAACCAAACACTATCATTTGTCACTGTGATAGAAAAACGACAACATAAGCATGCAGCCAATCCTCTAGTATTGCCATAAAACTTCATGTTTAGATAGTTCAGTAGCCTCTCTGAAAATAGCGGAATACTTCCTTGTGCTTCCTGCTCTTTAGACTGTCGTGTACTGTAAGTCTAAATTAAAAGGATTTCAGATCTGCTCATTTGGTTTGTTCAATTCTTGTGTAATTTGTCTGTCAAGAAACTAGGACTTCTTGGCTGTGTCATAAGTTTTCCTACTCCTTTTAAATTAATGGACAGGTTGGATGGTTCTAACTATTTCAAATTGACTTTCACTAGTGTTTCACTACTCAGGCATGCTGATGCCAAATTCGATTGAAACTCATCTTTGCTAGCTGCAAGTGTAAAATGGAACCAGACTTGCTCCATTAGAAGCTTCTGTGAGCAGCACAGTTTCAAGGAATATTAATTCACTTTGGCTGGACAGAAAAACTAACCTCCTGAAAGACCATATCTGTGTCACCAATGCCAACAGTCCACTTTAACTGCTGAAAAGGGGACCCTTTTCCTCGTCTGTTTCTCCGTGAATCATCAAATAGTAGCATTTTATCACATGAAGAATTTGGTCTAATTTTGCTTGGGATTTGGCTATCATGAAAGTTGGTTAAGCCAGTCCAACATATTTTATTTTGGTGCCTGTTTGCGATAGTGCTGGTCATCTTTATTTTTGACTGCCAATGTTTTGTGCCTGTTTTAAAGGACTATCCGTCTTCTGATTGTTTATTATGCTAGAGTTTTTAGGGCACGTGTATTTCCTTCTGATGATTTCTTGTTTTACACTGTTGGGATTCTTTATGATGGGCAGGGTTGGAAGGCAGGTGGTGAACATCGCGTCTTTCTTGGTGAGAGTTGACTCTCAGAAGCACATTGATTTCTCACTGACAAGTCCACTGGGAGGTGGACGTCCCGGTAGGGTAAAGAGAAGGAACCAGAAGGCAGCTGCCAAGAAGGCTTCTGGTGGAGATGGAGATGAAGAGGAGGACGAATGAGTGCTTGCTGATATGGAATTTCGGTAGTAGTAGTAATAATAGGGTGTGTCTGATCTTGTATTTGACACAATCCTATATCAGGATGGTTTAATTACATCATTGCGATATTGTTCCGGTTTCTGGACCTTCAAACTTGGTTTTGGGATTTGGATGAAGTTTTTCTTGCATTTTGTTGTATTTGATCACAGGTTTTTTTTGACAAATATTCTTTTCAGAAAGTGGGTTGTTAATTTTCTGTTTGGGTTAGTCAGGCAAGTTTTATGTTGAAATTTTATTTCTGTTTGGCACATTTGATTTAAAACTAGTTTAGTTTAGTTTTCAAGTAAAACTTGAAGTGGCATTGTTTTCGGGGTTACTTCCAGGCATTGAGTTTTATTATCCTCCATCTCTCCAGCTTTCATGTAAAACTTAAATAATAACTTACCACTCAGCTTTGTGCCATTGTTTACGTGGTTACTCTCGATTAATGAGAAACCGCAACAATACTAAGAGTCATTTTTTATCCTTCAATTATCTAACAAATGTGATATTATATCTCTTATTTGTAATTTTTTTTCCTTTGTTACGTAGTTGATTTGAAGCACCACATAAATAATGACATAAGATATTTTGAAATTACTGAATAATATCTGCTTAACGCAGCTCCGCTCATTAACCATCCTAGTCTCAACGGAACTGCAATTTCTATAAGATTATAGTGAAAAATGAGGAGTAAATTCCCGCAACTTCTATAAGATAATAGTGGAAAATGAGGAGTAAATTCCCAGGACTACTTGCATACAATCAATACCCACCAGGATTGTACTTATCTACAGTAGTTGATAACATTTAGCACAATATTTAATCACCACCAAACAAATAAAAAATTACATAATATAATAATCCAAGTTGATCAATACATATACAAGGACAACGTTGAAAAAGTAAATATGGTTGAGTCATTTTATAATCCTTAATTGCCGGCCAAGATTGTGATGAGCATAAAAATTTAATATATTAAAACTTAAAAGGGATTAAAAGAGAGTACTTTAATAGCATAAAAGTGATGCTAAATAATAATAATAAAAACAAGCATTAAAAGGCTGACTAGACACCAATTCTTTGGAGGAATTTTTGGTGATAAAGGACAGACAGGAGTAGTGGGTGGCTAGCATTAAGAAATGACAATATTGGAATTAAATAATAATAATAAAAAAGTGGTGTTGCTAGTCATAGCTCATATTATGTGGATGCTCAAATATTTATTATAGATAGTAGGATACAAATGAATCAAATTGAAATAAGTGAAATTGAATTGAGCAATAGTAAATTGAAAATTTTTAAAAATGTATTTGAAACTTGGTTTATTTTATGTTTCAATTCAATCTAAACGAGTTTTAATCAAATTGGTCATGAGTCAAGTTCAAATAGATTGTTTTCTCATATAAATTTTAACAAGTTAAACACGAGTTTAGCTGAAATAGCTTAGTTAATTTTACGATTACAGTTAAAAGTTTCATACCAAAGCATATTCAGACAAGATGAGAAAATCTGTCCTATCTAGTATAGGTTTGAGCTTATTTTGGCTTGAGTTACCCATCCAGTCTAAATTTGAGCACATCTCGGCTTAAGTTATCCAAACTCAATACAACAAACTTCTCAATTATCTTAAACCAATGTATTGCAATTCGTTTTTAAATATATACATGTCTTAAGAAATTACAAACATGAAACATAATCCAGGTTGCTTGGGTTAGAGAGATCCCATGCAATGTTCAAATTTAATTTGGATTGACAAATTTTTGCTCTAAATTTGGAATTATACTAACCAAAGGCTTTAAGTTTTGCAAGCTAAGGTTGTTCGAGTTAGACTGGCCTAAGTTTCACCCATAGCTCATGCAGCCATGCATGTACTGGACCTTTTGTACCTAAAAAGCCTTTTGTCCCTAACTCATGCACACATGGCCACATGATTTAGGTCTCATGCACTAACAACCACATGATCTAGGTGGTCCTCAGTTCTCTAGGAGTACAACTGAATTATTAATTGCTGTGTCCAACACCCTCATCCCTTAAGGCTATCTTAGGCTATGTTTGGATGAAGTATTTGTGGTGGGAAGGAAATAAGAAGGGGAAAATGAATTAAATAGAAGCTAAACTATTGTCGTATTTCTCTTTCTGTTTCCTGTTCTTTTCTTTTCTCAAATCGTAAAGTATAAAAGTGCTGATCCACACCTACAAAATGCAGGACAAACTTTTTACCCAGAAAAACAAGTCCTACAAATAACAATATGTTTCATGTTTGGTTTGCATCAGTATGCAGAAAAAAAAGGTTATGTTAACATTCACTAAAGAGCAGCATCTACCATTCCCGACCATCCAATATTGATTGGGATAAATAGATCCCCTGGTTTTGAGATTGAAGTTTACAAATGCCCACCTACAATTTATGATAAAACTAGGAAAATTGATATGTTGTAACTCTCAAATCACAGGTCTGAACCAATCTTGATTGTGCACTACAAAATATAGTGGCTAAATGTGAAAGTATCCTTAAAAGGGCTAAGTTGACAAACACAGAAATTGGATTCATCTTTTGTGGGAGCCAAAGAAACCAGATTTACCTTTCAGGAAGACGGCCTTCTGGATATCAATAAACTAGCAAAACCAGCATTCTGTGTTCTACTCCACCCTCAAATGCAAATTCCGGTTGAATTTATAGACATCCTTAACAATTTTCTTACAGAAGGAAACTAATTTTTTTATCACATCTAAAAAAAATTATGTGAATGAAATGAAACGCACCTAGATTAAGTTTCAAGTTTGATGCCTAAGCCATACTCCAAGCTTCATGTGGTTTGATGAAATTGTTTAGCTCAAAAGAACACAATATCCTAGCAAAATGTTAATGCAGTGGCAATCCATAGGTGTGACAAAATAGTGCGTTTCTGCTTAAATAATCAATAACCAGTGTCCTAATGTAATGAACAAAGATACCATAGCACCAATTCAATTTTAACATTTATCTAAAAGGACATACAAAATAAAAAGAAAAAAAAAAAAAAAAAACATAAATTAGTGGGGACCAACATTGGGAAATGTAGACAGGAGATTATCATAGTTGGAGGTCCGAATAAGGTGTCAGTTTATTAACAAACCAATGCTGCTCAGTGAATTTGTTGGAAAAGGAACTACAGTGGAGGATAAAGCTTCAAGAAAGTTGATCTGGTCTCTTCATGTGAGGAAAATGTCTATTGACACTACTAATTTACCCTCCTTTTTTCCTAAAGAATTTTTTACTGAAGAATTTTCCATCAAACTAACAGAACCCAAGGAAACATTCCCACTAATGCCCTTGTAAAGGATGGTAAGGGAAATTTCTTTTCCTAAAAATTTTCCTGAGAATTTTCCACCAGAACAGCTCAAGCCTAACACTAATGATCTTTTAAAGGATTATAAACAACACAGAAAAATTGATGATGCAATAGCATGGTTGGTGAAGCAAAGATTTAGCACCCTATAAGCTTCTATAATAGATATGTCAGCCATTATTAGAGCAGTCAAAAATAAGGAAAACGACCAATTTCATTCTTCAGAGAAAAAAACCAAGCAATTGAGATCATGAAACAACAAAATGGTTTCAGGTAAAGCTTTGCAAATATTTATAAAAACATAAAAATGCACTGGTACTTCAATTATTAGTCTATGCTTGTCCTACATGGTGCCAAACTTTGGAAATAAACTATCACAGAAACTAAAAATGAGTGAAGATGAGTAGGACAAATAGAATTAGAAGACAGAGAAACCTCCAGACATCCTTCAAGAAAATATTTATGAAGCTTGAGTAAAATCTGAATTTTCCCCTATAAAAGGAAGGCAGAGACTAGCTCACTAGCCAGAATCCCAGCTCCTGTTGTAAATCCCATTCAGCGTCATCAAAATCAGACACCTCAACAACCCATCACGGCACAATTATAGACAAAACTTCCCGAATGCTTGCTTCCCAGTAAGATCCACTGTGGCGGCCCTTCATCGGGATTCCAACCATTAACCTCTATGATCCCCCCACCTAAAGCCCTAGGTCCACCAATAACAATAAGCCGGTCTCCGCATGCCCTAAATGCTAGGCCCCAACCATTCATGGACGCTGCTTGCTCAGGCAACCTCCCCACCGTAAGCCACATGTTCCTCTCCTTGTCATACTTCCTCACTTCTTTTTCTGCGTAATATGCTGCATATAGTTGATTTTTCACAACTGCAAGCAAGGGAGGTGCCTTGGCCGTAGCAGGTGCCTCAGTAGCCACAGCGTCACCGTTGTGTTCAGGAAACATGTTAGGAATCTCGCGCCATGCCTTTGTGTCCAAATCATACACCTCCCCACATGTAAGCAAGTTTGGATTGCCTACTCCAATTCCCCCAATAACGTAAAATCTCCCATCCATAAACACCCCGGAACACATTTTCCTCGGTTTATTCATGCTTGGAAGGGTCATCCACATACCAGTATCTGAGTCATAAAGCTCCGCAGAGCTCAAGATATTGCCCTCTGGGTCACAACCTCCAGCAACAATTGCAATTCCCCCAAGGCTTGCAGACCCAAACAAGCATCTCGGTTCGTTCATCTCTGTACCCAACGACCATGAGTTTGTCAATATGCTATATTTGTAAATTACATGGGACATAATCTCCTTTCCAAATACAAGAAGTTCAGTACCGACAGCCAATGATTCCTTGTCTGAGCACATGAAGCATTCATTTGAAGTCATTCTAGGCAAATGCATCCAACGAAGGCGAATAGGATCGAAGGCCTCCCATTCAAGAAGATTGCAAGAGAAATAAACCCAATGTTCGGTAATACCCATGTTCCGTCTCATCCTATATAGCTCGCCGCTCCGAATTAGAGATCGAAAGCTTTGATTCAATGATGCAATCGAGCCATAATCTGATCTTGAGCAGAGAGCTAGACAATTGATTGACATGTCTCGGCCAATTTGCTGGATGAGTGAACTTGAATCCGATTGATCCCCATTGTGATCCCCATTATCTGATTGGTCAGCTTGAGAGAGTGAAAGATCATGAAGACTCTGCATTGTTTCCTCTCTCTCAACGACATCTGATGGCTTGGATGACTTTCTCAGTGAGACCCCTTCCCCATCTTCCACACGGCGCTTACCATTTGAAAGTTCAATCACGCGGAATGTGTTGTAAATCCACCTGCTCTCATGCTCGCAGGAACTCGGCAGGTCCCGGGAGATAAGATATGATGGACCCTCCAACATGGCACCCAATTTTGTCCAAAAAGTGGATGTTATTCTAAGGAAACCAATCAATGCAAAGGCTCATGTCTCTTTCCTCATCAAAATTAAACCGAAAACCAATCAGTCAATACATTAGCTATCGCTTGTCAGTTAATCTGAGCATAAAACCATATATTCAGGTAAGAAAAATTGATATCAGTCTATAAATCAGATATTACTTGTCAGTTACTCTGAGCATAAACCATATATTCAGCAAAGAAAAAAGTGAACTTTGGTATAGAAAGCATTTAAGAGACCACAAATCTAATTTAAAAGACATATAGATCCTAAATGACTCAAATTATTGAAACAATAAATTTAAAAAAGAATACTTCAAGTTTTATCTTAAAAATAATAATAAAAACCCAATATTTAAGCATCAAATTCATCAATCACGAGAAGAACTCAGTAAGAAGATCAAAACAATTTCACATATACACATATTCAAATAGCAAGTAAAAAGCCCTAGAACCAACCAAATCAGATCTTTAAGCCCTACCCAATACAAAGAAAGAACTAAAATTTAATGGGTTATCACATATCAGAAAGAAATCTAAACATTAACATAACAAAATCCAATCCAGCTTATTCAATTACAGAGAAAACAAAATTAAAAAAACAAAACAATATATAAACAGGAAAAAAAGGGGAAAGATCTGTTTGGAATTGAGGAGGCTATATTTATAGTTTTCTTGTTATTCATAAATAGGGGAGAGAGAGAGAGAGAGAGAGCTTACAGAGTGTAGGATTAGGAGGAGTCCATTGGAATTCTGAAGTGCGTTGTTTGAGTATTCAACTATTCAGAAGCTCTCTACACTCTCTCTCTCTATCTCTCTGTAACTCAAGCCTCCCAAATCTCACAGCTTCCATCTCACTCACTCACTCTCTCTCTCTCTCTCTCGCACACACACACACACACACTTTCTCTCTCTAGCTTCTCAGTCTCTCTCTTTCTCTCTCTCTCTGGGCTTTCATTTCATTTTTCTGGTTTTATTAAAATTAACGGAAAGGAGGGGGGTGGTGGTGGTGGGGCCCGGAACGGCTAAGAGAAAGGTAGAGAGAGAGAGGGCGGGGGGTGTTTGGGTGCGGGTTATAGGGACGTTAGTGGGAGCTTAAACGGACGTTAGTGGGAGTAAACGGATGTTAGTGCACGTGTAAAGTGGTGTGGGTTTCACACGTGAGAAACGGTTTTTGGTTGGTGTTTCCGTTCTCCCGTACGCCTCTCCGTTCCGTAGCATCTCCTCGTAAACACTTGCTTTTCTTTCTTTCTTTTTATTTTATTTTGAACTGTATTTAGAATATGAATTTATGTAAAAAAATTAAAAATAAAAAGATTAAAGTAAATGATAATATGAATAGAATATATTTATATTTTACATATATTTTATTTTTTTCTTTTTAAATCTTACCTAAATTTATGTTTCAATTAAATTTAATTGAGAGACGTGTCTGAAATTTTGATTTGATTTTCACAACTTAAAAAAAAAAAAGAAAAAAAAAGAGGAGAGCTAAAGAACTAAAGGAACATTTGTTAATTGTTAATGGGGTGCTTTTAAACAAAATTTTTTTTTTTTTTTTTATAAGTATTTTTCTGTAATAATTTTATTGTGTGTGTTTTTTTTAATCATAATAAAACACTCACAGTAGAGTGTATGATTCAATAATTTGAATTAAAATAAAGTAAAATGATATTAAAATCGTACCTCATAAAATGACATATATTTACTTTTAGTTTATAGAGAATCTTAATCCTTTTAAACATGTTGAAAATAAAATTTCCTTACACAGTTACCATTGTGATGAAAAACACAATTCTCCATAACTCATTCTTGTTAAGTTTCATCACAATTCTCCATAACTCATTCTTGTTAAGAGGTAGGGTGTGAATAATTATTTATTTATTTATTTATTTTTGTATATTAAAGCATTCAATTTAATTTTTTAAAAAACAAATTTCATGTGAAATGAATTTTTTAGGTAAATTGTCTTATTTTATGAATTTTGTAAATTTGATAAGTTAATTCAAAATTTTTCTAATGTACTAAATCTCATCAGAACTCCACAACTAAACATAATTGAGAGAGAATAGTTTTAAGATGAGTAACTTTTGGAAAATAGCATCCCTTTTATTTTTTTATTTTTGGACAACAAAAAAATCAAAATCATATGTGTATGTGTTGGATATTGTTGGCTTTTTGGCTTTGGAATGTTATTTTTATAATTATGAGTGTGCTAGTAAGAATCAATCAGTCCTTACAGAAAATTAATTGTCAACCAATTATCAGACGATTGTGTTTTAGTTATTTCAGCCTCAATGAAGAGGACTTTTACTGGTGGCTTGATTTAGGAGAATTAAGCAAATAACAATTAAATGAAGAACAATTGAAGCATTTAATTAAAATGAAAAACTTACAATGATCAAATTCAGCCTCGTAGAGGTTTACAGCAACAATCTACTTGAAACTACTCTTATGAACGAAGTGCAGTGTAGGAATTTTAAAGTACAAAAATGTAAAGAATAGGAAATGTAAAACTGGAAATGAAGTAAAGTAGAATAAGATTGGTTTTTTGGATCTGAGTCTGGGGCTTTTTCTGGGGCCTTCTCTGCTATTTATACTTCTCAAGGATGACCATCGAACTGCATTTCCAACCGTCAAACTGCTCCTCCATGATCGTTGATCATGTTGCCTTATAATTAGCTCCACTATGCCATCACTTGTAGTTAGGCTTCCCTCATAATTTTGAATTTGAATGTGAGTAACCGTTGAAGCCACATCACTTTGCATCTCTTTGCTGATCCAATGCTACTCAGATCTCGTAATAACCAATACTAACTGCCATGTGTACGATCATAATCGAAGACTTGAATAGTCTTCCTGTATTACCCTTATTCTGCCACGCGTCGAAGTGTAATTGGCTTATACAAAATATATAGCCAACATTACCCCCCGTACTAATATACCCAATCCTTGGTGATATTAGTGGATCAAGGTCTTTTATCCACGTCTTAGAACGTGCATGAGCTTTGCATTCTTCCAGAAATGTAACCGTCATTCATTATTTGCATTAAACTCTCTTTCAGTCTTTTGAACACCCCCACCACCTTAGCATTCGAACAGACTGATACATTTTTATGGCCAAATCAATTTTCTCCTCTATTGATCGAGCACACGAAGAGTCATCTGATGATGCTGTTCCTCCTCGAAAGAACCTCCATGCATTAATTAGCCACCTTTACCTACCTTTCTATATTCAAGTCATGGAAGCCTTTGCAAATTATCAACCCTTGGACTACGAACACATTGCCCTTAATCCTTTGATTTAGAAAGTTACAAATATGGACATGAGAAGTTCTTCTTCTGATTCACCCTTGGACTACGAACAAATTGCCCTCAATCCTTTGATTCAGAAAGTTACAAATATGGACATGAGAAGTTCTTCTTCACAACCCTCTGCATGGGATAAGGCTGTGGCTTTTTCTTCCTCTGGGCTTTTGACTGGGCAAGCTGGTCGAAATCTGAGGCTTGTGAATTAAGGGAGCGAATTAACCATCACTTTGTCGAGTTCACTGACCCTTTAGAGTTTCCTTCCTATGCGTGAAACTCGGTGGTTTATCCTTACGTGCCCATTGACCGCCGACGCAGTTTAGAAGGCAATCTGCTTGTAGCATGGTACACATCCTCCATGCCTACAAAGATAGTGCATGCTACCTGAAGCACAGAAGAGGTACAAGGGTACAACCCATCGTTCTTAGCCTAGAAGGCGAAGCTTTGCTCTTCTGATTGGCTCGATTATATTAATGCCCTTGTTTCTGCTGCCCTTGCTCCTTCTCCTAAATGGAAGCTTCCATACCTTATCCCCCGCCAAATCCTTGTTGGACAGAGAGACTGAGGCATGCCCTCTCTGCGGATAAGGTTTTTCCTCCTTACAAGCCTCCACCTTCCCCTACTCCAGCTGAGCGGAAGCAAGCCCAACTTCTGCTTGTGGCCTTCTCTCACTTGCCTTTCAATGTTCTTGAGGACGATGTTCCTCTCAAGAACCTTCGATGGGCTTGTGATATTCTGACTCAGGGTCACGTCCTCAACCCCCTCGCCCAACCAGAGCTTCACATGTTTTTGGACCAACTCTCATTGCTTCTTCACTGGCATCGAACTTCTGTGGCCACCACTCAATCTTTAGACCAACTCTTATCCCTTTAAGTTCATGCCCAGTACGAAGCAGAGAACCTCATTGAAGAATTCGATAACTTCAAGAATAAAGACTCTGCGTACTGGGATGACTTGGATATGGACGAGTTGGAACAAGGATTAAGAGAAACAACGTTCAAAATAAAGGCTGAAGAGCTCTTTTATGAAGTGAGAACACATTAACTTCAACAGCCAATCCTAGAAGAAATAGAGGATAGAATAAAGAAAAAACAGAAATTCATTGATCATAGTTGAACCAAATTTCATGATCTTGTTATTTATTCTATTCCTTACTTTTATGAACTTGAATTTGTACCCAAAGCGGGCCATTCGATGTAATTGCTTATGCTTTAATAAGACTTTTCTCTTTGTTTGGCATTGTTTGATCTTGTCCCCGTTTGTCTTTAAAAGCAAATTTAGGGCTTCGAACTGAACAATCTTATCCTTCGAATCTGGACTCAATCGTTTTAAATGAAACACTAAAAAAACCAAAATGAACTTTTCCAATTTATGGAATAAAGTTGACAGTTTTTGCTAATTTTTGTTTAGAATCAGTGCTTCGAATTTAACAATCTTACCCCTTAAGGCTTGTTTTAATCATAACCAACATATGGTCATGGTTAGTACGATCAATCAGTTTTAAATTGACCATTTTTGCTTCGAACAACATTCCATACTTTCAAAAATATGGAAACTCCTTTTGAGGGCTGCACTGTTTTAGTCTGAAAAGACAATCTCTTTCTGTATATATATAAACCAAATATTGGTTTTAATGTTTTGAACACCAATTCCCATCCTTAAGGGGTCTCAAGTTTTGCTTTGAAGGACATTACTTTCATTAAGAAACCTAAAACAGGTCTTTAATCCCTTTGAAGTAAACAAATACTTGAGCATTCTTACATCTTTAGGTATGGAATGTGCTTCGAAGCTAGTTTCTCAGTTTCGAAGCCGCTGTTATTTGACTTTTGGCGCCAAAATCTGGTTTCGAAGTCAAATATTTTATTTCGAAGCTGGCATCAACATCTGGGATGTGTTTTTCCCTCCAAAAGTATCAATAATGAAGGAAACTCTTCGTATCTGTACTTTTAGTACTTAACGAATTACATGATATATTTTCCAGACACAAAGGTTTTTTTTTAAATCTTTTTATTTCGTGTTCTGAAATCACTCGCTCGCTTAACACACAAACCCTTCCCTTCTGTTAACCCTCTCTTCCTTGCTGCTTGCTACCAATGGATTCTTCCTCTCTGAAAGTACTCACTGGCGATCGTATATGCCCAACCATGGCTTTGAAAATATGTATTGATGAAGAGATTGCTAAGTTAACAGTTGATGGGTCAAGTGCCATAAAGGGACGCCTTTTTGTCCCTCGCCATAGCAACAAACAAGAATATGTCTTAGGTCCCATCTTTCGAGAAGCTCCTGCTCAACTTCCAGCTTTATACCCTCGCTTGGAGGACCACTTTCTTCTCTATGAAGGGGGGCTCGACTCGGGAAATTGGAGAATGACCAGACCTCACCGTTGCTGGTCGACATTGAGAGCTGAATGGGAGGAATGGTATGACAGAGTTGTGCCTGCAAGAGAAGATGATCTGCAAGAGCTCTGTATTCTCGATGCCCTCCGTCTTTCCAGGTTTATCATTCCTGATGACCCTCTCTTGATTCTTGTTGCTCTTTGCTTTTGGAACATGGCTTTTAATTTTTTTCAGTTTCGGTGTGGCATGATGGCCCCCACCGTTCTTGATATTTGCCATCTCTTAGGGCTTTCACCCCTT